AGTTAGACAGTGAGAGAGAGAGACAGAGAGAAAGGTCTTCCTTCCGTTGGTTCACCCTCTAAATGGCCGCTATGGCCAGCACACTGCACCGATCCAAAGCCAGGAGCCAGGTGCTTCCTCCTGGTCTCCCACATGGTGCAGGGCCCAAGCACTTGGGCCATCCTCCACTGCCTTCCTGGGCCACAGCAGAGAGCTGGTCTGGAAGAGGAGCAACCAGAACAGAATCTAGCGCCCCAACCGGGACTAGAACCCGGGGCGCCGGCACCACAGGCAGAGGATTAGCCAAGTGAGCCACAGCGCCGGCCTTCACTGCTTCTTACAACGTGCAGTTCCAGAAAGCAGTCTTTGGCAATTCAAATTGTACAGTGACTTACTAAAACTCAGAGCCTCAAACTCTGACAGGACAGGAGCACAGTCCACAGCCTGACTCCCCCAGGGAGGGGGCTCCTCATACTGCTGCCGCTGCCCTTCCTGGAGAGGACCTACAGCCCATGGGGGATGGGGGGCGCAGTCCACACACAGCCTGTCTCTCTGGGCCAGGGGGCTCCCTATACTGCTGCCCCTGGCCTGCATGGACGGGACACACTGCCCTTGAGGGATGGGGAGCACAGTCCACAGCCTTTCTGGGGCGGGGGCTCCTTACACTGCTGCCTCCCACCTGCCTGGACAGGACGTACAGCCCTTGGGGCATGGGGGGCACAGCCCACAGCCTGTCTCCCCTGGGGACTCCTCACACTGCTGTCCCTGGATTGCCTGGACAGGACGCACCACCCTTGGCTCAGGTCCTGTCTCCAGATCGTCCTTCTCCCTGCCCACTGTGCGCCAGGCTGGCTTCTGCCTCCCACCGTGGCTGACGCAGGCAGGAGAGACGAGAACGCAGTCACAAACCAGCGAGAAGGACCAATCTGCCTTCCTGCCGCGGCCTCCACAGCTGACAGTGGGCTGTCTGCGAGGGAAGGAAACAGCACTTACATGACAGTGGCACTGTCAGAGTGTGCTGTGACGCAGGCTGCTTCACCCTCACACTCGGTGGACACTGTAGCCGGACCACCTGTCAGATCAGACAACCACACAAGGACAAGCCCTGTCCTTCCAACTTCTGTCACCAAATCTCTTGGTCCCCTGCCTGGGGACCATGCTGAGCCCTCTATGGGGTGAGTTGGAGAACTTAAAAAAAAAAAAGGGCCGGCGCCGTGGCTCAATAGGCTAATCCTCCTCCTAGCGGCGCCGGCACACCGGGTTCTAGTTCAGTAACTTGGAATAGCACGCCCAGTAGATTCCTCCCAAGAAGGCAACAAGCAAAGCAAGAGAAGACAGCAAAGGACATAAGAACATGGTGGACAGGCCCAGCACGGGGCCCACAGAGGCCCAGAACAGAGCCCACGGAGGCCCAGCACGGGGCCCCCGGAGACCCAGCACGGGGCCCCCGGAGACCCAGCACGGGGCCCACGGAGACCCAGCACGGGGCCCACGGAGGCCCAGCACGGGGCCCACGGAGGCCCAGCACGGGGCCCACGGAAGCCCAGCACGGGGCCCACAGAGGCCCAGAACAGAGCCCACAGAAGCCCAGCACAGGGCCCACAGAAGCCCAGCACAGGGCCCACAGAAGCCCAGCACAGGGCCCACTGAGACCCAGCACGGGGCCCACGGAAGCCCAGCACGGGGCCCATGGAAGCCCAGCACGGGGTCCTTGAAGGCCCAGTGCAGAGCCCACCGGATCCCAAGGAGAGCAGAGGGAAACGCAGCAACAGTGGCATGGACGTGACTGTCAGCCATGGGCCAGCATGTGCCAAGTGCCAGCAAAGTGGGACAGACAGAGGTGCACACCACGTACAGTCTACATAGCACAAGGCTTCACACAAGCCAGAAGGTCCTTCCACAGACCCTGCCAGAGAAACAGGGAGCATTATCTTCCCATGAGCAACACCATACGTGTCCTTACGAGCGATAAGAAAGCCAGAGGCGTGGGTGCGGGAAACTCAGAGGTGCTGAAGGAGAAAACTGGCGATTTGGAGTTCTGTCCTTGATGAAAACGTTCTTCCGGAATGAGAACCACTGGGCCGGACGGCTCTGCACCTGCACAGGTTGGGTGGAGCACACGGTCCAGGGAGCAGCAGTGGCCGAGGGAGGAGCAGATCACACACAGGGTGGCTGATCCAGCAAGAGAAAGGAGGTCCAGGGAGCCAGGTCTCCCCCCGTGAGGAGGAGCCAGGACCACAGCACGCTGTGAGGACCCTGCTCGCTGTAGCAGGAGACACCGCGTGGATCCACGGTCTGCACGTACAGGGAAACACTGAAATAAACGTCCTACATACACAGGAAGCCGGGACTCCTCCCCGACACGAATGACTAAGAGAACTGAAAATGGGGGAAAAGAATATGCTTCTGTACACTGGATGCTGCTGATACAGGAACGGCGGATTTGGGAAAAATCCCAGCTTGGCATCAGCACAGTAATCATCAGTCCAGCCGAGAGAGCCAGGGGTGCAACAGCACCCGAAGGCCATCCCGCAGGCTCCAAGCACCTGGCCAGCCCGCGTGCGGGCGTCACCTGCAGACACAGGCGATTCGAGCAGCGGGGGAGGCGTTCTCTGACGCTCCCACAGGACCCACAGCCCAGACCTCCCCGGGGAACAACACCCGGGAGACAAACTGAGGGGTGGCGAAGGCACTGACTTTGCTGTCCTCACAGCCTCAAGCCCTGAACACGAAGAAAACCCAGAGGAAGGGGCCCAGCCTCAGACCAGAGACAGATCCGGCACAACACGGGGCTGGCCGAGCCCCCAGAGCCAGGGCTGAGAGCAGGAGGTGCCGTCTCAGGGCCTGTTTCCCAACACCGGCAGCTCGGGCCAGGGCTGGGGAAAGTAGCGCTGTGCGGAGACTCTCCAACCTCACTGGACGTCAGGATCGGACAGAGTGCTTGCCACACCCACTCAGCATCCGAGCCCAGGGCCAGTGTCCCCGTCAGCGACCCAGAGAAGCTCACAGGGCCACGCACTGAGAGCCACACGACCACGTGCCTGAAGGAAACGGCACAGCGTGCTAACTCAGTCTCTTAGCCATGTGCTCCTTGTCATTTTTAAAGTTTGAAATACTTCAAAGCACCAAACAGGTATAAAATGAAGATCAGGTAAAGACCACTGTGGACAATCAGTGTGAGGACGTGCTGTCAGCAGAGGCCAACGACGGTGGAACAGCTGCAGCTGCACAGGCTGGGGGAGGGGTCAGGGCCGTGGCTGCAGGCTCGGCCACGTGGAGCCACCCCACAGGCCCGGAGCAGCAGTGCCACAGCTGGGCGGCTGGAGTTGGGGATTCCGTGGTCTGGCTCTGTTCTGCACTGGAAAACGACTCATGCACGCCAGCCTTCCAGAAATCCAAGAAGAGTATTTGAACTACAGGCTTATCACTTGAAGCTATTAAAAGAATGACAAGTAGCAAGCAGAGGGGGATGAACGGAATAATCATTTTTAAAAATCCAAATAAAGAAAGGAAGAAAGGAAAAATAATACATAGGAGAAGCAGGAAAAATACACATGGCATGACAGGCTACAGAAGCGCGTGTTGATGCCTGCTGTGATGTGAGCAGGTAACTATTATAAACGCTTAACGTGGCACAGAATTTAAACAACTATTTACAGGCTATAGGATACTCACATGAAATATAAAGACACAGAGAGGTTAAAATGAAAATATGTAGGGGAAAAACCTCCATCAGGCAAATACTAGCTGAAGAAAGTTCTAAATGCTACATAAATTTGAATAAAACAAACTTTAAGGTAAGAATCACCTCTGAAGATAAACAGAAAAATTCTGAAATGTACAAAGGGAAATACTACCAAGATAGCGATTCTAATTTAAATCCATCTAATCTTACAGCCCCAAAACACACAAACTCCGACAGGCTTCCGGGGAGGCACAGACCCAGCACGAGGAGGCACCACCACACCTCCCCTTGCAGGAAGGGCCTCCAGGCAGGCTCCGCAGGAGGGAGACAGGGCTGCAGAGAGGCCGGCCCAGGAGACCAGCAGGAAGCCCCGGGCAGCCTGGGCACACAGGGAGTGGCGACGCAAGGACAACGAAGCCACAGGGGAGACAGACCCCGCAGGGTCTGTCTGGGCCGGTCACACGTGGTCCGGTCTGGGCCCATCACACGTGGGTTTTCTGAACCGACAGGTACAGCACAGGAGACCCCGCTGGAGCGAGAGCTGCCTCAGGCCCCAGCAGTGAGGAAGCCGACGTGCAACCCCACTTGGAAGAGACTCGACACCAGCACTCACACGTGCAATGGACACAGAAGGAAAGGACACACAGGAAGTGCAGCTGCTCCCGAGGGCAGCGTCACGGCCGTGTGTGTCACCAAATTTCTACGCTGAGTAAAATCACTTTCCAAACAGCCACAAGAACTCGCTCGGGAGAAAATGTCACGCCAGCAGCAACGACACCTACGCAGCCGTGCGACACCGCTCTCAGAGAATCAAGGTGAGGAAGTGGCCAGCAGGTGTCACACACGGCCCGGCGGCACACGGGACGCAGCCGAGGACATGGAGGACGTCCCCCTACGCTGCTGACCACCGGCGCTCAGCAGCACACCTGCCGTCCCCCGGGAGGGGCCCACGTGGCACTGAGGAATGGCCCCGGCCCAACAGAGCTGGCCACACACGATTCTCCGTGCCATGGGGAGAACAAATGACGCACAACAGAGGTGTGGAAGTTAGGGGAGAGGATCAAGGCGACATCTGCCCACTCTGCCCGCTCCCACGTGGTCGGAGCAGGACGCCAGTGCCACCTGACAAGCAAGAAACGGGGAACACAGCTCCAGCCCTGAGGCCTGTGCCTGTCCAGGAAGGTCGCCCAGCGGCACAGCTCTGCTGGCACCTGCCACCGCTGGACCTCAGCAGCCCCACACACAGGAACGAGGGGGAAAAGCTCGGGAGAAGCGGCCCAGCGTCCCCACGGCTCCAGGCCCACCCCTGCCGGCTTCCGGGGGCCGGAGGTCTCACCTCTCTGAATGCCTGGAAGAGGCGGTTGCTCTGGTGAGCCCCGATGGTGACCTCCGGGAGGTACAAGGGGATGCTGGTGTAATTCAGCACGTCCAGCTTGTTCTGAACCCTGAGAAGAGACAGACAGAGGCCGCGCCGTCAGTTCGGGTCTCACAGGTGGGCTTCAGGCGTGCGCATAAAACCCTCTCACGCTTGCAGACGTGGCTCGTCCACAGGCAGCCCAGGAGCAAACCATTCAGTCTCTCTGGAGCTGCTTTTCCGGAATCACACCCAGGACCTGCAACAGCCTTCCCGCCTCAGTGCCCGCAGGCGCGGACCCTCTGGGCCTGGACGTGACTTGGCAATCAGGAGAAAAGGAGCCCAGAGAGCAGCAGTGAAAAGCTCCAAAGTGCCTCGTGTCCCGCCCTCAGCAACCTTCTCTCCCAGGGACGACTCGAGCCGCGTGCTCCTGCTGCTGCTGTCCAGGCCGAGGCTGTCTGCAGACACGACGTGAGACACCCCGGCGCTCAGGGCACGGGGCACGCCGATGGTGGGTGGCTCTGGGTGAAAGCTCTGGTCCATCGACAAGTAGCACAGGACACTCCCCGTACTGGACAGTCCATCTTGCCAAATGCTAAAATATTTATTTGCACTTTTATAATCTGCTTACTTCAAGTTAAATTTCGTTGAACGTAACCACTATACTAGAAGATGAAAAACACTTTTTGAGCTTTTAGGAACGTGAGCATAAAGTCTCCTTCCTTAAGGGCTCAAAACAGAGGCAATAATAATTTTAAAAGGCCACTTTCGCATTAACGAGCTATAAGGCTTAGATGTTTCTTGTCTGTCATGGAGCAGAAGAGAATCCTGGCCTCCACCAGGCCTCCAGGCGTGGCCCGCGGCTCTGCAGGCTGCCCCGGACAGCACCTCTCAGTCAGAACACGCAGCCACCGGCCCAGATCACAGTCCCAGAGAGCAGACAGCGAGGGCTGGGGCTACAGGCAGCTGAGAGCCCCAGCCAGGCTGTGTCCCTCAAACACAGCTAGCAACCCAGGGACCCGATGCCTCACCACGCCTCGCCACGCCACGTGCCACGCCTCGCCATGCCTACACCTCGCCATGCAAACCATGTGCTTGCTTTCCCAGGTGTATTTACACACGTCTCCACACAGTTAAGCAAATGCCTACAATGTACACGCTCAAACAAAAAGATTATTGTTTAGTTTTAACGAAGTTAGTTTCACTTGTCAAAAGACATCTATATCTATCTATCTATATATTAAAAAAAAAAAAAAAAAAAAAAAAAAAAAAACGAAGCAAGCTAAAGGCATAAAGTTCCGGGATTTTCTGAGACTGCAGTTTTGGGCTGTTAGAAATGCAATCAGTTTGTACACAAATAGTGCACCTGTCCACAGGAGGGCTCTTCACAGAGCCCACAGAAAATGGGTATTACGGAAAACCACACAGATCTCACATCTTGTCCACCAAAATAAACCTGTTTTTCAATTCCATTACACCACAAGCGCTGTGAAGTTCCCCAGCACCAAAGCCCTTCCCCAGGCCACAGGGGCTTGTGCTGAGGTGGGTACAATCTGTGCCTGTGTCCTGTGTCCTGTGTCCTGTGTGCACATCTGCTTACTGGCCACACAAATCCAGTGATTCTGCATGTAAAAAGTCACGTAAGAATTTCTGCAGCAATGCCACGGCAACAAATCTCGAGAGAAGTCTGTATTTCAAATGCCAACAAGCACCACGGTGGGAAGGCTGGCTTGGTTTCTCTAGAGTTTAGGGGCAGGGAACCTTTGTTCTGCCAAGGGCCATTTGGACGTTTACAATATCAGGGGCCTGGGCTGGCACTGTGGCACAGAAGGTAAAGCTGCCACCTGCAGTGCTGGCATCCCACATGGGCACCAGTTCGAGACCCGGCTGCTCCAATTCCGATCCAGCTCTCTGCTGTAGCCTGGGAAAGCAGTAGAAGATGGACAGGTCCTTGGGCCCTGCACCCACGTGGGAGACCTGGAAGAAGCTCCTGGCTTCAGATCGGCACAGCTCCAGCTGTAGTGGCCATCTGGGGAGTGAACCAGTGGAAGACCTTTCTCTCTAACTCTGTCTTTCAAATAAATACATAAATCTTTTTTAAAAATTAGCCTGCTATAGGTTTATTGGAATTTGAGTCCCCCCTGCAGTTGCTATGGCAGGGCCAGACCAAATTTTGCGGGCCGTACACGGCCCACAGCTGGACATGTCCCACCCTGTTACAGTTTGAAAAGCATAACAAATCGCTGGAAAATCTGAAGAACTTCATGGCGGGGGTGGGGGGTGCCTTGGATCTGTAGAGCAAGAGCACCACCTATGCTTAATTTGGCAGAATTACATCTTACACAGAGCCATGGAAATATTAACTATGCATCACACTTTTTAAAGTGTTTTTTTTTTTTTTTTTTTTTTTTTTTTTTTTTTAATTTGAAAGAGTGACAAAGAAACAAAAACAGAGAACTTCCATTGCTGGTTCATTCTGCAAATGCCTGCGACAGCTGGGGCCAGGCCAGGCCAAAGCCAGGAGCCCAGAACTCCATCAGGGTCTGCCAGGCGGACGGCGGGGACCCGCGTCCTTGCGCCCTCACCTGCTGCCTCCTAGGGCGTGCCGCAGCAGCAGCTGGCTTGGAGCAGGAGCGGGGCTCAAACGCAGGCGTCTCAGCGGCGACGCCACGCCCGCCCCGTGCACTTTTTGTTGCCATTCGTCTACAGCTTATTATTTTTTTAAGATTTATTTATATATTTTGTAAGTCAGAGTCACACACAGAGAGAAGGAGAGACAAAGACAGAGAGAGAGGTCTTACATCCGCCGGTTCACTCCCCAATTGGCTGCAACCGCCGGAGCTGAGCCAATCCGAAGCCAGGAGCCAGGAGCTTCTTCCAGGTCTCCCATGCGGGTGCAGGGACCCAAGGACCTGGGCCATCTCCTACTGCTCTCCCAGGCCACAGCAGAGAGCTGGATGGGAAGTGGAGCAGCCAGGACTCAGAACAGTGCCCATATGGGATGCCAGCACTGCAGGCGGCGGATTTACCCAGTACGCCACAGGGCTGGCCCTACTACAACTAATTTAAAGTCTCCCAATTCATGACTATGAGCTTAAATGACGACTATTAAGGGTGACTACCCAGGAAACTGTAGAACAAACTCGTACATTCTAGAGTGAAGGAAAACAAGGAACAAAGACACCAGCAAGCATTTATGATTCGGGAAGCCAAACGCAGTGAGAGGACATTCTGTTCCCAGAGCACTGGGTGGACTCCAAACACTGGAGGCTTCCTAGAGACACCACAGGACGTCCAGAGGTGACGCAAGGCAGAGTCTGGCTCACGGCACAAAGCGTCACACCACGCAGTTTAAAACCAAGGAGGGAAGCAGAAAGGCAGGAAAGAGAGAACGGGAAACCCTGCCTCCCGACTCAGCCGTGTCCCTGGACACCTCCCGTCGCCGACTCTCCCATCCCAGGGCCACCGCGCTGCCTGCAGCACTGTGCTTCTGACACCCACCCACAGCCTGCAGGTGGCGAAGTCTCCTCCAGAGACACGGATGAGGCAGACGGTGCAGGGAAGCACGGCAGGGCCCTGCGTACCTGGAGGCTGGGCGGCCATCAGGGCACCCCACAGGCCTGGTCCCACCCTTGGAGGGTGCCAGGCAATCATGGCTATGGCTATGAGAGAGAACACAACGGCTGTCACACCGCAGGAGACGCCGGGAAGGGGCACCGGGTGCAGGCACAGCACACTGCTCAAACACCTCCCAGGGCTGCGCCTGAGCCGGCCGCGAGATCGCAGACGTGAAGGTAGACGGCACGTGGCTGCAACACACAGCGCTTTATCAAGCAAGGCTCGGGACGACAGAGCACATTACAGTCCCCGGGCACACTCACAGAGGCAGCTACACTAAAAACTCAGCAAGAGTTGTGAAAAATGAGGAAGGGACTTCCAGGCTCAGCTCAGTGAAGGACTGGAGGCGCTGCCCTTATCTCCATGACAGAAAGCTGAAGCCACACCACACCGCCCCAGAGCGCGCAGGGATCGGCCCGCGCTCCCTCTCAGCCCCATGGCTCAGCCGCGCCGTGTCCCTCCTCCTGCCCCGATCACCCCTCACACCCACACGACCTGAGTGCCACGCAGACAGCAGTTAACACACTGCGCAGGGAACGGTGAGAGAGTCTGCATCTGTTCACGGCAGGCACTTTTTCCTGAACACTTTTTTTTAAAGATTTACTTATTTATTTGGAAGGTAGAATGAGAGAGAGAGCAAGAGACAGATTTTCTATCTGCTGGTTCCCTCCCTAAATAGCTGTAACTGACAGGTTACAGGCCAAAGCCAGGAGCCCAGAGCTGCATCCCGGTCTCCACGCGGGAGGCAGAGACCCGAGCACTTGGGCCACCTTCCACTGCCTTCCCAGACACATCAGCAGCACGTTTTTCCCAAATACTTTGGCCCACAGTTGTCTGAATCCCTGGACACAGAGCCCGTGGATAAGGGGGCCGACCCTGGAGCAAGAGTGACCATGTTCTGAACACTTGCAACTCACAAAAAGAGGAACCAACGCCAGCCAGGGCATCCGCAAGGGAAGGAGAAGTGGGGACGCTTCTGCCTCAGGCACCTGCACAGGGGAGAAACCGCACTTGACAGTGAACTTGAAAGGGGCCTTCAGGGAGCTGCCGATGTGCACTGGGAACCCTGCCGCCACTCTGAGAACCGTGAGGGATAACCAACAGACAAGGGAGCAAAACTGGCTCACACACTCCCAACCTAATCCTGAGACGGCAGAAGACAGAATAAGGGAAACAGAGCAGAAATACAGCCAACAGAAGACACCCAGTGAGACGTGGACTGAGACACCCAGGCTCGTTTTAAGTGTGCTTGGCTCAAATACACCTGTCACAACAGAGATGGCCGGGGTCGGCACTGTGGCGTAGCGGGTAAAGCTGCCACCTGCAGTGCTGGCATCCCACATGGGTACCGGTTTGAGTCCCGGCTGCTCCACTTCCAATCCAGCTCTCTGCTGTGGCCTGGGAAAGCAGTAGAAGACGGCCCAAGTCCTTGGGCCCCTGCACCCGCGTGGGAGAACCGGAGGAAGCTCCTGGCTTCAGATGGGCACAGCTCTGGCCATTGCGGCCACCTGGGGAGTGAACATCGGATGGAAGACCTCTCTCTGCCTCTTCTCTCTGTTACTTACAAAATCGATCTGTAAAAAAGAGAGAGAGAGAGATGGCCAAGACCCAACTACCTGTGTATGAGAAAATCACTTAACTGTAAAGATCTGCGCTAGAGGTAAGGGTGGAGAAGCAGGAGCAGCTGCAGGAACTCCACAGAGCAGCCTTCGGCACAGGAGAGCATCGGGACCAAGGGGTCACCCCTCCCAGACATGGGCCCCACCCACGTGTGTACTCAGAGGAGAAACAAACAATGTGGTACTGATGATGGAGACCGACCTTCCTCCACCAGAAACAGATCCATCAGAGAATCAGCAAGGACGAGAGCAGAGTCCACGCCCCTCAATCACGACAGACAGCATTCCTGGCCAATGTGTGCGCCAGAACAGCCATCAGCCATCATGACTATGCAATGCATGTTCTCAGACCACAGCGGAACTAAAGTGGCCCTCACCAACAGAAAGTTGGAAAATCCCTAAATACGTGGAGATTAAACAACACACTCCTAAAATCCTGTTGGTCAAAGAACTCTCGAGAGCTTTTTAAATGTTTTGAACTAAATGAAAATGAACACAGAGCTCTCCAGAAGCGAGGACGCTGCTCGGGAGCCCCTCCCTCCGCCCTGCAAGGCCCGGCAGCGGCGTCGGCTCCGGCGTCGGCTCCGCGTCCCACCCCGGGAGGCAGCAGTGACGGCTCAGGTACCTGGGTCCCTGCTGCCCACAGGGGAGACCTGGACGGAGTTCTCAGCTGCTGGCTCCGGGATGCCCACCCACAGCTGCTGCAGGCACTGGCAGAATGGACGAGCAAATGGGACTCTTTCTCTGTTTCCCTCTGTCTCTCAGACTTTCAAATAAATACAAATAAACAAAATTTAAAACTACATATATTCTAAATTTATATTTATATATACTGAAGTTTTATTTTTATTTATTTACTCTTCAAAATGTGTGGAATCCAGCAAAAGGGACTCCTACTGTGAAAAAGCACTGAATGAACGTATTAGAAAGAAGAAACCACAGAGAAAGAGCAACAACTAGAGCCCAAAGCAGGCAGGGAATGAAATAAAAACCAAAGTAAACATCACAGAAATTGGAAGCAGGGAAGCAGTAGAGTAAACCAAAAAACAGAAACCCGGTTCTTTGGAGAATGCAGGAAAATTCACAAAGGACAAATACATGGGCAATAAAAACATAAAATGAGGTTTAGTGTTTATTAGCAGCAAAGAGGAGCAAATGCTTCCTTTCGGTGTCCAAACCCGAGGACCTGCTTTCTGTCTGAGGACCCTGCAGAGGACAGGGACGGATGTGCAAACTCACACCTATCTACTGGAGAACAATTCTGCAAAGCACTGGTGAGTGAGCAGTCCACGTTCACACAGCCTGACTCGGTAACCACTGTCATAACTCCAGACAGCAACCTCAGGGCTGGTGGTGTGGTACAGCAGGTAGAGCCGCTGCCTGCAATGCTCATGTCCATCCCATATGGGCACAGGTTCAAGTCCCAGCTGGTCCACTTCTGATCCAGCTCTCTGCTATGGCCTGGGAAAGCTGTAGAAGATGGCCCGAGTCCTTAGGCCTCTGCTCCCACGTGGGAGACCCAGTTGAAGCTCCTGGCACTTGGCTTTGATCTGGCCCAGCCTTGGCCATTGCAACCATCTGGGGAGTGAAGCAGCAGGTGGAAGCATTCTCTAACTCTTTCAAATAAATACACTTAAAAAAAAGTAACCTAAAGTTGAACAAAAATGTGTCCAATAAGCTTATTATCATATTGCAAATATGAATGATATTTTAAAATTATTTGAATGTATCTAATTTATTTGAGAAGGAGACAGACAGACAGGAGAGAGGGAGACAGATCTCCCATGAGCTGATTCACTGCCCGAATGCCTACCATAGCCACATGGAAGCCAGGAACTCAGTGTGGGCCTCCCACATGCGTGCAGGGAGCCTTCCAGAGGGCGCAGCAGCAGGAAGCTGCACTGGGACCAGAGCTGGGACCAGAACCCAGGCTCTGCAATTTGGGAAGTGGGAGACAACCACTAGGCCAAAGGCCCAGCCTCAAAGAGGGACTCTGTGGGGTGCACAGCTGACCCCGCAGTTAGGAGCAGGCTCTGAGGCCGCGCCTGTCCCAGAATCCTCTTCTCTCCTCCCAACCCTTTAAAGTCCAAGAACCACTCCTCACTGCCAAGGGCTGGATGGGCCCAGAGGCCATGTGTATCTCAACCAAGGCACACACACAGCACACGTGGGTACCCAGTCAAAGATCAGAAGTTTGAATCCCAGCTGCTGCAGAGACGGAGCCGCAGCTGATCTGGACGAATCCTGGCTCCTCCCAGCTGGGCCCCCGCACGCTCCACTGCTCGAGAGCAGCTCGCAGGCTGGGCCCCCGACGGCCCTCGCAGAAGCCGAGCACGGGCTCCTCCAGGCCCCGAGCCGCCCGCTTCCTCCCTGACCCAGCGCTGTGTCCTTACGGGTCACCATAACAAGCCTTACTCTGGGCGTGGAGACCTGCTTCTCCCCACCAGCCAGGAACCCTGCAGCTGCAGCATGGACGGGGGCAAGGAGACACGGAAGCCATGAAGGTGGCGTGGGTTTCAGAGCCACACGTCAGTGAGCGCTAAGCTGGGGTCTCTGCCTTCCATGAAGACCACCCACGCCGACTACCGAGAGCCTGTGAACAAACTGTCAGGACACACAGGTACAGCAGGCACCCCACACCATGTGGGGACCCAGGACAGCAGTGAGCCGTCTCTGCTCTCTGGGTGGCTGGCGTGGGTAAGTTTTAGTCAAGTGTTCTCCCACCCAGAGAGAAGTAGAGGACTGGCAGTCCAGGGGCACCGGCGCCCGAGAGGCAGGAGCTGCACAGACGCCCCTTCCTGAACACCATCACTGACCTCCAGGCAATGAGGAAAGAGAAAGCCGAATGCCCAGGCAAGCTCATGCCTTACGGGCCTGAGACAGGCAAGGGCTCCCGAGGCCGGGGTCCCAGACCTTGTCATAGCCTCCTGGCCCGTAGCAGGGAACAGGACAGGACAGGGTCAGGCCAGGCTAGCACCCCCGACGTGACTGGAAAGACAGAAACCCAACCTATCTGTTCATGTTTCCTCCACTATCTTACATCAAAGACCCTCGAATGCTCAAGTTTGATTTACACATGACCAGGGTGCTGGCACATCGCTGCCATTACCAAATCACTCTGAATCCTGCGACAGGCCCAGCCCTGAGAGCACTCCCACCCGCGGGGGCCGTCCCTTGTGTGCACTTTCTGTGGGCAGCCACCGAAGACTCGTTTCGACGTGGCTGGCACATAGGCTGTGGACCCCAGGGCCTCAGTGCTGTGAGGAGCAGTCAGGATGGACAGGAGCAGGTGCACGGCCTGTGCAAACAGGGGCCTGGCCCAGGAGAGCGCCCTGTGAGAAGGCTGCTATCGCGACCTGCCAGAGGCCAGCTTGTCTGCCATGCAGGTGAAAGGTCCAGGTGGGCCCTCGGCTGACTGTCCATGGTGTCTGCAGCCAGGGGCCAGGCACAGTCACCACAAAAGAAGACACACGACAAGGGTGCTCAGGCTCCAGGCTCTGGCCACGGAAGGTGGGAGGAACAACACAGAACCCTGGCCCCAGAGTGGTGAGAGAACGAGGGAGGGTAGGGTGTGGACACGGGGGAGGGAGGACGGCCAGGGCACGGTGAGGGAGACAAGGTCCTGCCTCTCAGAGCACAAAGGCCACGCCTGTGCCCCCTTCCCACGGCAGCCTCCTGCCCTCTGCTCCAGCCCCTCTGGCGTGGTGCTGGGTGTGCCCCACTGCACTGTGGGCTCAGGGCCCCATACCCCAGATACCTGCAGGCCCAGTCCTGGCTCTACTCCCTGACCAAAGTGCCCTTTGTCACCACCCCCCACTGTCCTGTCACCCAAGGCCACCTACTGCATGGCTCTCCTGACCCGGAAGTTGTGTTTCTGTTTCTCCCTACTGGAGTGCGTGTCCCAAGACAGGGGGAGTTTCACAGATCCCTTACGTCTGGAAAGTGGGAGCCACGTATCTGCTGAGTGAACCACGGCCCCCGGTGCAGGCAGGTGCAGGCCAGAGGCCAGGGCTGTGTGGGAGGGAGGAGGGGCCGCAGGCAGGCACTGGCAGCTGCTGACGCTGCCTGCAAACCTCACTCTGAGACCAGCGTGCTGCGCTTCCCGCCGCGCGCACTCACAGCATTCGCAGGTTGTGCAGGGTGCGGTCGTCCTGGGAGAGCCACGGCCCCTTGTCACACTTGAGGTATTCGATGTCCTCCACCACCTAGGAGCAGATGCAGAATGCAAGTGAGCTCACGTTTTAATGCACTGCAAGCTGCCGCCATCTGGCAGGAAAAACCACACCAGCCACAAAAGCTGAGCTGGACGATCCTCCATTCACCGGCCAGCCGAGGGCCGCCCCACGCACGCTCGGGCAGCAGCGGTGCAGGCGCCGCCCCACAGGTGCGCGGAGAAAGGACACACAAGGCCGAAAGCCGGGGAGGGGCAGCCCACCCGGGACAGCCCACCCAGGGGCAGCCCACCCGTTTCTTCCCAGGCTGGTGCGCTCTGGAAGGCGCTCAGAGGGACGGTGTGACGGAGACGCTCTCTAAGGAGCCCAGCAATCGAAGTTCCATGGTCAGCGCAGTCTGGCCCTGACCGGCCAGAGGGGCAGCCCCGAAACAGGCCAAGCTCAGGGAGCGCACTCGAGAATGAACTCAGACAAGGCAGCCCCGAGGCAGCGGTGGCCTCGCCCACCGCTCGCCTGAAAGGAGACAGGAAGGAGACAGGCTGCGGAGGGAGGCCGCCAGGTCTCAGTGCGCGGGCAGCCGAGCCAGGACAGCGGGGCAAGCGCCAGGGCTTCAGGACAAAGGCACACACGTCCCCTCGGGAGGCAGCTGAGGTGCATTTCAGAGAGGTCCACTCAGAAGGGTGCCTCCTGTCCCGACGCCTCCACCCGCACCTCAATCCCAGGGCCCAAAACCTGTACTTGATCCTACAAGTTTTAAATTACGTGTTGTTCAGCTCTGGTTTGGTAACTTACGCTTAATACCAAGGGACTTCCAAAAACTTGGGGACAATGGGACTAAGAGTTTATTTTGATGACCAAAAAAAAAAAAAAAAAAAAAAAGCTTAAAATTCATGGGTTTCCAAGAAGTGCACGGAAAATGCACACAAGGAAAACTCTATGCACGGATTTCAAAAATTTTTTGCTCCTAAATAAACGTATCTTTTATTTCTGTTTTTCACAAACTTTTTGAAGTACTGTCTCAGCTGTAACATACAATGCCAAATGGGAGTTCTTTGCCGTAATTCCCACTGTCCTCCACTCCGCCTTGTCCTTGAGACCGGACTTTGGGTGCAGACCCCACACCGGACATGCCTGCCTGCACCTGCCTGCTGCGGCTCCTCCCTAAGCCCGCACGAGCTCCGCCCTGACACCAGCCCTGCGCAGGACAGCGCTGCACCTGGAGACCAAGCCTTCCTGACGCACGCTTGTCCGTGGCAGGCCTCTGGCTACGCTCCCTGCACACAGCCGAGCCTGACCGGAACTCCACCAGGCGGCCATTTGAGAGCCGTCATTTCCAGACTGAGCCCGCCCCAGCAGTCCACCTGCAGCGTCACCACCTGACCAGCAACGTCGGGTGGACAGCCCAAGGCTCCTTTCCCGTTCACATCCGTAGATCAGACACTGAATTATTGCAAACAACGCGAAACCTCACGGCCGGGGACTGTTGATAACACGCTGATGCTTCTTCACGACATTGGAGTCGCTGGTTACCTGATTTACAAGATAATTACGTGAGTCAAATCTAAGGAAAACCACACGTTTTCGACCATTGTCTTACCTTGTCTGCGTCCTGGGCTTCCCTCGCATCGTACTGCAAAACCTCACATTTCTCACTGGAAGAAAAAGCAACAGGAACTGCAGCATCGGCTCCTCCCAGCCGCGGAGATGCTCCCAGGACCCAGGCCACTGACGCGCCCGCTCCTAACGCTCCACCGGCCCTGTGAGCGGGCCCTGAGCTGGCCCCCGGGACGCGCCACGGTGACCGGGGAGGGGCCGTCCCACGCCCCTGCAGGTGCGGATCCCTGGCTACACTGCCCCGAGGCCCAAGGTCGTGAGGCCACCGAACCCCAGCTGTCACAAGCCACGAGGAAGGAGAAAGGGGCCCAGCAGAGGCGGCCAGAGAGCAGCCACGCAGCACGGGGACCCGACAGCCGAGCTGCTGGGCCAAAGGCACCCTGCACACAGGGCAGCAGCAGCTCAGCGCCCACACTCCGAGGCCCTGGTCCGCACCGTGGAGTCACAGCGGTCTCAACAGGAAGGCAAGGGCCCTTCACGTCTGCACACTTCCTCCCCTTCCTCCCGGGTCTACACTTACGGTTCAGAGTCCTGCCTGTCCAGCCAGGGAAGAAATGAAACCCGCTCTGCCATCTACTCCAGGACCCCTGAGAGCAGGGACAACACAAGCAAGCCGAAACCTACCCATCCCCCCAGGAACGCGACTGAAACGTGCAGACGCCAGAGTGCACGCCCGCTCACCTCATCTCGGGGAGGAAGGTTTTCTTGTAGGCGTTCTCGATGTCCTGGAGATATGCAGCCGTGATCTTCATTTCATGAGGCTAGGCAGAGCAGAGAGGAAAGCAGGAGGCTACACCCACACTCGCCTTCCCCCGCCCGCACGTGCGGGGTGGGACGCAGGGTGCCCACGTCACAGAGCACCGCCGCCACCCGACCACAGGTGTGGAGCCCCCCGCAGGCTGAGACACACTCAGAACGGGGTGGGAGGAGGCCTCTGAGGAAGCCACATCCCAGGTCTTCCCTGAGGTCAGGCTATGCGAGAGCACGGGTGTAGGGGTGTGGCCTGCTCCTCGGGAGTGTGGAGGTGCGTGCAACACTGGCACATCCACCCTTAAACCAGGCCAATGTCACAAACTGGACTTCACCATACGTTCACTACTAAGAAGAAACATGGCAGAGGAGAGCCGACCGCTCAGCGGTCTACCGCCACCTGCAGGCCCAGCACTGACCCGGCACAGTGGCCACGTGTGCACCAACGCCAGACCCCAGGAGTGGTTTCCGTAAGGACTGGGCAGCAGGACAGTTCCAGTCTTTGTGACCCTTCCTGTCCTCTTAGGCACCTGGCACACGAGCCCCACCAAGAGGAGATCCTGGGTATGAGTGGCGTGAGTGACATCGGCCACGCATCACAAAATCGGTGATCTGTCTGTAAAGCTCCCTGATGAGCTGCGCCAAGTAACAAAAGGGTAAATGCAGGCTGGCCGGCAAAGGGGTCTGGTGTCCATAAACTTAACACACAACGGGAACACGGACCCACAGGCACGGGACGCAGCACTCCACCGTCGGCAACTCCAGCCGCTCTTCCGAGTTTGGACATTCCCAGCAATCACCCTAAAGCCTCGACTCCAGTTCAACTAGTGGCTCTTAGTCACTTCCAACTCGTTGTGGGAAAAGAGCAGGAGAGGACGGGGGCGGGGGGGTGCTCTCGGGAGCCTCCCCCACTCTGAGACGGCCCAGGCCTGGAGCAGCAGCCCCAACGGGAAACAGCACCAGGCCGCGCTCGGGCCTCCCTCCACCCACCAGGGCGCCCGCTGGCTGTGTCACTCTAGAGGCCACGACTTTATTTATTTGAATTAAATAACTGTGTGCCAGAGACAGAGAGAAAGCCAGACAGACAGATCTTCCATCTGCTGCTTCACTCCCCAAACGCGTTTTCAGGGCTGACTTATATTAAAACAACAAGGTAGGGCCTGTGTTGTGGCTTGGCAGGTAAAGCTGTCGCCTGCGACACTGGCATCCCAAATGGGTGTCACTTCTTGTCTCAGCTGCTCCACTTTTGATCCAGCGCCCTATAAATGCAACTAGGAAAGCAGTAGAAGATGACCCAAATGCCTGGGCCCTGCACCCACGTGGGAGGCCTGGAAGAAACTCCTGGCCCACTCCTGGCCACTGCAGCCAGCTGGGGAGTGAACCAGTGGACAGAAGCTTTCCCTCTCCCTCTCTCTTTTTCCATAAAAAATAAAACTCAAAAAAAATGAAAGATAACAAGGACGCACAAAGAGAACCTTGGCCTTTGATGTAAACCTGACTTACGTTTCCTTTCTTCTGAATGCGACTCTGGATCTCTGGCACAGGCACGTCGATGTAGATGGCCACGTGGGGGGGCAGGTACTCACAGATGGTGACCTTCTTCACCTGGTTGTAGTGCTCCACACCTGCCACAAGAGGGCGACCGTCACCCCGCATCCCACAGGGCACACACAGAGGGGCCCTCGTCACCCCACATCCCACAGGACACACACACGGAGGGGTCCTCGTCACCCCGCATCCCACAGGGCACACACAGAGGGCGACTCGTCACCCCACATCCCCACAGGGCAAACACAGAGGGGCCCTCGTCACCCCACATCTCCACAAGGGCACAGACAGAGGGCGACTCGTCACCCCACATCCCTACAGGGCACACACAGAGGGGCCCTCGTCACCCCACATCCTACAGGACACACACACAGAGGGGCCATCACCCCAAATCCCACAGGGCACACACAGAGGAGCCCTTGTCACCCTGCATCCCACAGGGCACACACAGAGGGGCCCCCATCACCCCACATCCCACAGGGCAAACACAGAGGGGCCCTCGTCACTCCACATCTCCACAAGGGCACACACAGAGGGGTCCTCGTCACCCCGCATCCCACAGGGCACACACAGAGGGGCCCCCATCACCCCACATCCCTACAGGGCACACACAGTGGGGCCCTCGTCACCCCGCATCCCCACGGGGCTAGCGCCCTGTGCTCCTCTTTGAGTAATGGACAAAGGCAAACAAACCCCAAGCCACACACCATCTGCCGATCTGTGCACGCGCAGGTGTGTGACGGTTCCAGTGCCACAGCGGCTGGGGGCTCACGGCACTGACAGCAGTGCTTGGCCGGCACCGCACAAGGGAAAGTATCAGACCCGAGAGGACAACTTCCAGGGTGAGGAGCACCAGGACTCGAGCTGTGATGTGGGAGCCATTTACCAGGGTGCAGCGTGTGTCAGCAAATGTCACCAGCTAGAGAACTACCTACCGGCTCAGACCTGGCAACAGAACAAAAGCGAAGGCAGCGAAGGCGGGGAGTACTCTACCGAAGCTGCAGCGGGCAGGCAGCGACCCGGCTCCAGCACCGCCGCTCCTAACCCCACTTTGGAGGCAATGTTGAGAGGCGCCACTGCCAACGTGAGCAACTGCAGAGGACCACACGGAGGACGGCACACCTGCCCCAGCACAACCTGCCGGACCCACCTCGCTTCCGTTTGCTGACTGTGACTGTGGGACTGTTCACACAGGACAGCACGATGCGCTGTTTGCTGGACCTTTAGCAGGCCAGTCCCCCCACCCCCAGTTCCATTCTCCCCCTTTCTCCTGCTCACGTGCCCACGTCTCGGGAGCCTCCACCTTGTCCTAGGCCATCCACGCAAGCAGCTGTCCTGCACCCGACACTGAAGTGACTCCTGCTAAAGGCAGGGATCACGCGCGGGCCTTTTCTGCTCCTGTCACGTCCACGTGACGTGGAAGAGCACCCCCTCCCACCCTCTTGCTCTCCTGTGCACCTGCCCACCCAGCTTCACTTCAGGGGCTCCACAGCCCCCGCAAGGGCACCCCCAGGAGTGAGGTCCCCTCTGGGCCCAGCACACACCCTACTCCAGGGGTTTTCCCAGGACAAAGCAGGCCCACGCTCAATGACGACCCCCAAACTGTCTCCAGCCCTGCATAGTCCTCGGGACACCAACACTCACCCACTGGCAGGCCTCTCCCACAGCCCCCCCCCCCCCCCCATCTCGAGGGAACCACACTCCAGACGCCCAGAGGCGAAGTCACTTCTCAGCCTGCGGCCCTCCACAGCTCCTCCCAGGTGGCGTCCAGCTGGACACGCCCACTGCCCCTCTGCCCCCTTCCCCAGCAGGGCTGACTGCCCAGGCTTGCCTGGGGATCTGCCCTCACCACACACCCTCTAACACAACCACATCCTCCGCTGCCAAGTCTCCCGCGGCTCCCTAGCACTTCCAGGACAAAACACAACCATTGAGCCCTAAGGAGGCTCAGCCCCGCCCCAGCAGCCCCCCCCCCCCCCCCGCTGCCCCGGAGACGCCTTGCCCGGGGCTCCTCGCACTGAGTGGACTCCTCACAGCCAGGAACCTAAGCACAAGGAAGCCGCTGGTAGGTTTCACACCCTCCCTGCCAAGCCCTGTCTGTCATCCGTGTGTCGTGAGCACAAGGCAGCATTGCAGAAGCGCAGCTGGCCACCCAGTCTGCGCTCGGCACGGCCGTGGGATCGGTCTGGCAGAGCAAGGCCCAGGCGGACGGCCCCGAGTGCCCCAGGGCACAGGGCTCACACTCAGGAGCATCCCTTGCCTGCCGGGTCTCCCCATCCGCTAAGCACAACGCTCACCGTGACCTCCCAGATTCCGGCCGGGCCCACAGGCCTGGGACAGCCTCCTGGCCGCAGACGCTGCAACCTCGCCTCGACCCCAGACCTCCAGGCTGGCTGCAGCTACCCCGGGGGTCTTCATCTTCCCACCCACCACAAGGCAAAGCCTCAGCAATGCCCCACCTCTGACTACTGTCCTAAGAACCTGAGAGCTGGGGCAAAGCCCCCACCTGCGATGCCAGCATCCCATGGGTGCCAGGTGGACTCCTGCTCCACTTCCCATCCAGCTCCTTGCTAATGGCCCAAGAAAAACATCAGAAGAAGGCCCAAGTGTTTGAGCCCCTGCCACCCACATGAGACCCGGATGAAGCTCCAGAGTTCGCCCTGGCCCAGTGCTGGCTGTCACAGCCCATCTGGGGAAGGAACCAGCGGATGGAAGAGCTCTCCCTGTCTCTGCCTCCTCCTCTGTAACTCAGACGTTCAGAATAAAGAAATAAATCCTTAGGGAAAAAAAGACCGAGAGGAGCAAGATGGGGCGATGGCAGCTACTGGCAGGGGCAGGGAAGTCCAGACCTCCTGACTCCACAGAGAACCTGCAGGGTTCAGTGGCTGCGGGCTGCACCAAGGACTGGGGTGTTCCTGGGAGGGCTGTCTGAGGAGGGAACCCCACTTGCTTCCACAGGAGGTAGAAGGACAAGGGACAACGTGTGCAGGGAACCCCACTTGCTTCCACAGGAGGTAGAAGGACAAGGGACAGCGTGTGCAGGGGGCGCGGCGGAGGAAGCGCAGGCAGCCCCCTCCCTGCTGTGGGAATGCATTCCGTGTGCGGGACACGTGGGGAGCACCCGCACGACTCACACTGCTTGCGGATGTAGCCCTGGCTGTGCATGGCCTCCACGAAGACGAAGTCACTGTAGATGGAGCGCTCCAACACCACGCCTTGTCCTGGGCACAAGCAGAGATCACCGTCAGAGCAGCACTCCAACCCAGAAACAGGAAGCCCACTCATCCACAGACCCGTTCCCAAGCGGTGACGGCCCTCCAGCTCCTGGAAACACAGCGCCCCCTCCAGGCAGTCAGCGACACATAGGAAGTGAGCTTGTTCTGAAGGGTCCACTCACACTCCCTGTGCCCACCGCACCCTGCTCCCCACGCCGCGGCCCAGTCACCATCTCCTCCTCACCTCTGGCCGCTCTTGCCCCAAGGCTGCCCCCCGGGGGTCACAGGGACACCTCCCAACTTAGGCCAGATGGTGCCCCTCCGGCCCAGCCTCTAGGGAAATGCTGTCCCTGCGGGGGCCTGGTTTCTACTCCCCCAGCCTTGCTCACTGAGCTCCTGCCAGTGACTCCCCGAGGACGACGCACACAGCCCAGGCACAAGCCCTCCGCAGTGGGCCCTGTGATCACAAACGGGACTGAGCAGACCCCTAACCCGGCCATCTGACAGCTGCGCCCGCCTCCTCAGAGCACCTGCCACTCACTTGTTACCTGCTGCACCTGTCTGCACAGTCAGCCTTCAGCCCCTAACTCCTGCGACACCACAGGCTCCTGGAGCAGGCCTGCACACAGCACGCACCTGCTACACACGCAGCGACTAAATCAATGCAGCACAAAAGGAAACAGGCACGTTTGCGTGAACTGAAGTACTGAGCAGGCAGAAGACACGGGTGACTCTAAAGTGGGGGGAGCAGAGCACCAGGGTCAGCTCCACACCCCTGCCACGGCTCAGACGCGCTGTCCTGGGCGGACACCAGAGGGCAGGCCACGGCCCACACTTTTCTCAGAGCAACACTAACCAAGACAGGGGCTCACACTGAGTAATGAAACAGTGAAAGCGGGACACCAGCAAGGCGCCCTGGGTGTGTGGACTCGGGCCACAGGCACAGGGCCCTGGCAGCACGGGCAGCCCCAAGTCTGACCCAGCTCCTCGGGTCCCAGGGCTTTCTCGAAAACACATCCTCGGGCTGGCAGTGTGCCCTAAGACACCACATCCTGATCAAGTGCAGGGCTTCAAGTCCCCGCTCCCTTCCGCCTCCAGCCTCCTGCTAGCGTGCACCCGGAGAGGCAGCAGCCACGGCTCAGGTACCCGCGTCACTGTCTGCTGGGTGGGAGACTTGGACTGAGTGCCCAACTCCCGGCTTTAGCACAGCCCAGCCCTGGCCAATGCAGGCATTTGGGGAATGGACCAGCAGAGGAGAACTTTCTCAAATAAGCCAATTAATAATTTTTAAAAAATACCTTCTTGTCCTCCCAGCTCAGACACCGTGAACTCCAGTAGCAGCCAAGAATGTCAAAGCCGACCAAGAGCTCTCACATCAACCCGTGTAACCCCCACTGCCTCACACGCCCCTCACTGTCCCCTGCCCCGACGTGCACACCAGTCCCACAAAAACACCCACCCGCCTCCCTCTGCCCACACGCACCCCCATAAAAGCCCACCCACTGCCCTCTGCCCCCCAAAGCCCACCCGCCTCCCTCTGCCCACACGCACCCCTGTAAAAGCCCACCCACTGCCCTCTGCCCCCCAAAGCCCACCCGCCTCCCTCTGCCCACACGCACCCCTGTAAAAACCCACCCACTGCCCTCTGCCCACACACGCACCCCTGTAAAAGCCCACCCACTACCCTCTGCCCACACACGCACCCCTGTAAAAGCCCACCCACTGCCCTCTGCCCACACACGCACCCCTATAAAAGCCCACCCACTGCCCTCTGCCCACACACGCACCCCTGTAAAAGCCCACCCACTGGCCTCTGCCCACACACACACCCCTATAAAAGCCCACTCACTGGCCTCTGCCCACACACGCACCCCTATAAAAGCCCACCCACTGGCCTCTGCCCACACACGCACCCCTATAAAAGCCCACTCACTGGCCTCTGCCCAGGCCTCTGCTGCCTTCTGCCCCGCAGGCACCATCAGCCTCCGCCTCTGAGCCCAGCGCCGCCACGGCACAGAGGCTGTGCCCAAGCACGCAGTGCATCTGTTCGGTTCCCAGGGTGTTTTGGGGGTCGGCCGGCTGAACTCTGACCTCATCTGCACACACAGCCCATGGCCTGCCCTCTCCATTTCCTAACTTTGTTTCCTGATTACCGTGCCCACCTCCCGGACTTCGGACGCACCCTACCCAAGTGTAGAGCCCTGGTTCGGCTTTCCCCTCCAGGGACACACGGCCCTCCACCACGCGGGCCCCGGACCCTGGGCGCCCCTTCCCCCATGCACACGGCCCTCTCGTGCTTTCTGCCCGTGGTTGTAGGTGAGCCCCCGCTGCCCCTCAGCCTATCACACACGCCCACTCCGGAGTGCGGTCCCACCTCCTCCCTGCGGCTGCAGGGCTCTCCTTCGCCCTCGCTCTCACACATCCCACGGATGCGCTCAGGCCATGGCCTGAAACCTCCACAGGATCCCTCAGTCCTGCTCCAGTCCAGTGGATCTGGAAGCAGCAGTGGCAGGGACCTGACTGGAAGACGGCGCTCGCCTCCCGAAACCCTTGAAGAACGGCTGTAGTTCACAGCAATTCAAACAGGCGAGCCGGGCAGCGGGCTGGGCGGGCGCACACCTGTGCTCAGCAGGTGCTCCAGGGCGTCCGCGTACTGCAGCAGGCGGCTGGCGTACAGCCAGGACTGCAGGCGGTAGCTGTTGCCGTCGTTGCTCTTCGGGTCATCATAAAATTTCTCCAAGCTACAGCCGCCACTAAACTGGAGATCAAGGGGTCTTCCGTCTCCTGTGGTGCTGTCGGCGTAATGGATCCCCGCCTCCGGGAAGTGCTTTAAGCCTGAGGAGAGAGCACCTGGTGAAGCCGGCTGTGGGTCACCCCCAGGGGCGCGCCTCGCGGATGACGCCAACAAAGGCCAGCTGAACCCCACCCCCACCCCCACACCGGCTCCGGCCACCTGCCAGTCAGGATGCACCGGAGCGGGTAACACGGCCGGCGGCAAGCCTGAGGCGTGTGTATCAGGCAGACGTGTGAGCCAAAGGGCTGCGCTGGGCCTCTGTACCGACTCCTCCTGAGAGGACGGGTCCCTGCTACGCCAGCAGCAGCTGCAGGCAAACCCCCCAGAGGGCACAGTGGACCAGGATGTGGGACACGGGCACAGACCCGGGACACGGGCACGGACCCGGGACACGGGCATGGACCCGGGACACGGGCACAGACCCGGGACACGGGCACGGACCCTGGACACGGGCACAGACCCGGGACACGGGCACAGACCCTGGACACGGGCACACACCCTGGCCGTGCCAGTTCACCACCTGCAACGGACAGCAGCCTCGCTCTGGCTCTAGCCAACAGCCCACAGGCAAGGCTCTGCTCCCCGGGCCAGACAAAACTCCATCAAACTGCCAACCAGCACGCCTGTTCTCCCCAGATCTGAAAGGCTAAAAACAGCTTTTCCATAAGCATTTGAGGATTTTATGAAATCCCGCCGAGCGGACACTGGTAAGCCCTCGTGCACCCGCAGGAGCCATTCTGCCCGACTCAGATGCCTACCCAGCTTCTCTGCGATCTGCTCTGCGAGCTTGCCTTTTCCGGAACATATATTGCCATCTACCGTTATCACTTTGCTGGATTCTGTCCACTTTTTGGAGGTTTTTTCTCCAAGTATGAAGGCCAGAGGTCCATATTTCAGCCTGCACGGGGCATGGGTGTGCACTCCGCCCTGGAAGGAACAGCATCGTGTGAGCATTCTGCTTACAGGCGCCGCAACCCCGCGGCCAGACACCCCTCTCACAGGGGAGAGTCCCCCCTTCCCCTCCATCACCACGCACAGATGAGAGTCCCCCCCTTCCCCCTCCATCACCACGCACAGATGAGAGTCCCCCCCCTTCCCCTCCATCACCACGCACAGATGAGAGTCCCCCCCCTTCCCCCTCCATCACCACGCACAGATGAGAGTTCCCCCCTTCCCCCTCCATCACCACGCACAGATGAGAGTCCCCCCTTCCCCCTCCATCACCACGCACAGATGAGAGTCCCCCCCTTCCCCCTCCATCACCACGCACAGATGAGAGTCCCCGTCCCCCCACCATCATCGCTCACAGGGGAGAGTTCCCCTCCCCCATCACTCACAGGGGAGAGTCCCCCTCCCCTTCCCCTCCATCACCACGCACAGATGAGAGTCCCCCCCTTCCCCCTCCATCACCACGCACAGATGAGAGTCCCCCCCTTCCCCCTCCATCACCACGCACAGATGAGAGTCCCCCCCTTCCCCCTCCATCACCACGCACAGATGAGAGTCCCCCCCTTCCCCCTCCATCACCACGCACAGATGAGAGTCCCCCTCCCCCCTCCATCACCACGCACAGATGAGAGTCCCCCTCCCCCCTCCATCACCACGCACAGATGAGAGTCCCCCCTCCCCCTCCATCACCACGCACAGATGAGAGTCCTCCCCTTCCCCCTCCATCACCACGCACAGATGAGAGTCCCCTCCCCTTCCCCCTCCATCACCACGCACAGATGAGAGTCCCCGTCCCCCCCCATCATCATTCACAGGGGAGAGGCCCCCTCCCGCTCTCCCCCTCCCCCTCCCCCATCGCTCACAGGGGAGAGGCCCCCCAGCTCCACAATGGCACAGAAAATCCTAACTCCTCCACCTCTGGAAGCGGCAGCACTTCCCCTGCTGCACTGAGGCTGAGGGCTCCCTCCCGTCTCCGAGGAGGGGGAGACCTGCTCACTGCCGGCCCCACATTGCCAACCTGTTCTGCATTCACATACGTTAATGCAAACAAGGAAGCTCCGCACACCCGAGAAGCCGCAGCCGCAGCGGTGCACAGCGCAGAGGGAACGCCAGGCGAGCCCAGCCTCGTCTGTGCAGCCGTCTGGGCCATCAGAAGCCACCCGCGCTACAAAGCAACCAAAGACTACAACAAGGACACGAGGCTCCTTCCCGTGCCAAGCTGGGAGATACCTGATGATGCAGTGCGAGGACAAGGCAGTGCCCACCTTCACACTGCTAACGAGACCCCCAGGCCTACGGCATCGGGGCCACCACAAGCGGAACACACGATCCTTGTGAAGATTCGCTGTACACTCCGTGAAACAGGGCCTGCGGCACAACGTCCAATGACAGAGCGCAGGGAAAACAACCAGGCGACAGTCACGCCCTGGAACACCGAGTGTCACAGACCACAGACCCAGGACTGCAATGCTCACTTCCTGGATCGCAGCAGGGTGGGGAGAAGGCACGTTACAAAAAACGCAAGGCAGACACGCAACCCAACGCGACGGGCAAACGATCCACGCGGAGCTCACGGAAGCGGACCCGCAAAGCCGAGGCTCTGAGCAAGCGCACCGGAAGCATGTGAGGACGCCGAGGACGCCCCGGCTGCTGGCGGGAACCCCGCGGCACCCTCACGCTGGCAGAGGGCTCGCGGTCTGTTCGCAAACCACAAGCTTACTCTACGACTGTCATCATGCCCCCAGGCCCACTGACAGGAAAAGGTGTTTCCAGAAGAAACGGGCGTGTGTGGAACTACAGTTTTATCCCTGGCTGTCAAAACGGGAAGCAACCACGGTGCCCCGCCAGGTCTGCAGGGACGGCACAGGGACAGCACCCAGCAGGTACCCAGCCACAGACGAGAGCACCCTAACCGGACGCTTCAGGGAACGCCGCGTCTGCAGCTCACGCACGCTACCAGACCCAGCGAACAGCACCAGGGACAGCACCCAGCAGGTACCCAGCCACAGAGGAGAGCACTCTAACCGGACGCTTCAGGGAACGCCGCGTCTGCAGCTCACGCACACTACCAGACCCAGCAAACAGCACCAGGGACAGCACCCAGCAGGTACCCAGCCACAGACGAGAGCACCCTAACCAGACGCTTCAGGGAACGCCGCGTCTGCAGCTCACGCACACTACCAGACCCAGCGAACAGCACCAGGGACAGGAACAAGGTCAGCAGTCGGCAGGGAGCAGGGAGGAGAGCGGGGCATGCTGGGAAAAGCCCAGGGGCACTGAGGGCCGTGAAGCCACGCTGAGGACGCGTCACACATTCCCGAGACAACAGAGCCTCCCAGCACGGAGCACACACAGCAGTGCAGTGAGAACGATGCATGCAGGCAGAGGGCTCCCAAAACCAAACGCAGACTGCGACGAAATAACCAGCGTGTTCAAATACCAGGAATGGGGGGGCCCATAACCAGCCGTGTTCAAATACCAGGAATGGGAGGGCCATAACCAGCGTGTTCAAATACCAGGAATGGGGGGGGGCATAACCAGCCGTGTTCAAATACCAGGAATGGGAGGGCCATAACCACCGTGTTCAAATACCAGGAATGGGGGGGGGGGGCATAACCAGCCGTGTTCAAATACCAGGAATGGGGGGGCCCATAACCAGCGTGTTCAAATACCAGGAATGGGGGGGGGGGACAGGGCGAGGCTGCGATTCCTGCCCCGTGTCGGAGTGCCTGCTTTGTCCTGGGTCCCCCACTTCTGACCAGCTCCCACGAACATGCCTGGGAGGGAGATGATCACCCCAATACTTGCGTCCCTGCCACCAACGTGGGAGACCTGCATGGAGTCCCGGGCTCCTGGCTTTTGGCCTGGCCCAGCCCTGGCTGTTGTGAGCATTTGGGGAGGAAACAGCAGACCTCTCTCTCAATCTCTCTTTCAAACAAGTAAAATAAATAACTCTTTAAAAATATGTATTAGGCGGGGTCGGTGCTGTGGCCCAGTGGGTTAACGCCCTGGCCTGAAGCGCTGACATCCCACATGGGCGCTGGTTCTAGTCCCGGCTGCTCCACTTCCGATCCAGCTCTCTGCTGTGGCCTGGGAAAGCAGTAGAAGATGCCCAGGTCCTTGGGCCCCTGCACCCACGTGGGAGACCTGGAAGAAGCTCCTGGCTCCTGGCTTCAGACCGGCGCAGCTCCGGCCACTGCGGCCAATTGGGGAGTGAACCAGCGGATGGAAGGACCCCCCCCCCGCCGCGCGCGCCTCTCCTCTCTCTGTGTAACTCTTTCAAATAAAGAAATAAATCTTTTTAAAAAATGTGTATTAGAAATTGAAGGGAGTGAGGGGAAAACTGCTGAGAACCAAACGCAGCGTAAGAGGAGGGCAGGAGGCACTGCCCCCACGAGCACCCGACGCTAGGGGATAAAGCGGCCCACGGGGTCGGGCTCAACTCTGACACCACCACACACACACACACACACACACACTAAGCAAGTGTGTGCAGACGGGGCCAAGTGTCACCGCTAAGAGGGAAGTCACACGGCACAGGCTGGCGAGGAGACGCGGCCAGAGGACCCCGACGGACCCCGACGGCGAGCGTCAGAGCTGGGGACGGCGCGTGAGTCCCCACAGTTTAACGCGGTTCCGCTGGCTCCAGGAGGAGCGCCCACAGGTGTGTGTCCCTGCCCACCCGCTGAGGGCCAGAGCCAGGCGCAGTGAGCACACAGCAGACAGCTCGGCCTCCAGGAAAAGGGCAGGGCTGCCTGGGGAAAGAGCTGACTGTAGGCCTGCACCTCACAGGGGCGCCGAGGGACGCGCTCACACGCACGCAACCAGGGGACAGCGCGGGGACACGGAGGCCAAGCGAACCGCGAGCAACCAAGTAAGGCAGTGCCGGATTCTAACCACAGCATAGCACAAGCAAGCAACGGAGTGAGTGTGCGAGAACACAGACTTCCGGTGGCTTCTCATCAGTCCGCCCGCACGGAGGGGCACAGCTCCGCACCCCCGTGTGGGCTGCCACCGACTGCCCCAGAGCACACAGCAGAGACGCCAGCTCGCTCTCAGCCGGGCGGCGAGGGGCACGCCAACTGCGGGGCGCCGCGTCCCCGTGCGCCCGCGACCCGCCGTGGCCCAGCCCTTGGCCTCGCGACCGAGTCGAATCAGGAGAAACACCTGCCGCACACCGCTCCAAACCGCGCAGGTCACCCAAACCGAGCAGGGTCCGGGGCACTGGCACGACCAAGAGGCCGGACAACCAGACGCCGCGTGGAGTCGCGGACGGGGCTCGGGGGAGCGCGCGGGGGGAGGCCGAGGGCACCTGAACGGGAACGCGCGTGGCCCGTGTCTGCAAACAGCACGCGCACACTCACAGCAGCAGCAAACGGAGGAGGCCCGGTATGACAACGTCCAGGTAACCGGCGGCACCCAGGGGCCGCCCACGGGAGAGCGGCCACCCGCCCCTCCCCTCCGCAGCCTGGCTCCCCCGAACACGCCGCCACGGCGCCGCCGCCACTCGCGCAGCCACGGAGCGGGAAATGCGGTCTCCTGACGCCCGCGGCCAGGCCAGCGCCGCCCTCTGCTCTCTGGGCCGGGGGCGACCTGCGCCTCCCCCGCAACGCAGCCGCCCAGCGCCCGCCAGGCCTGACCCTCGGCGGAGCCACCGCGTGAGTGAGCGAATGAATGAACGAATGAGTGACCGAGGCGGCCGCGCCGGAGGAGCTCGCGGCCCTCTCGGGCCTGGCCGCGACCCACACGACCAGCCAGGGGCAGCAGGGTCCCGCAGACGGCGGCGCCGGGCACCGCCGCCCCAGACCGGACGCGCCCGCGGCGGCCGCCCCTCCCGTCTCACCACGCGCTGGGCGCCGGCCGCCAGACCACGCGCGGCCGCGGACGCCGGGGCCAGTCTCAGAAGCCTCAAGGCCATGGCTAAGCGCTCGGCTCCGGCTCAAGGACCTGCGGGGACGAGACGGCGACCGGGTCCTTCCCCGCCGCCGGCGCGCCCGAGTGACGTCACTTCCGGGTTGTCCGCGGCGCCTGGCAGGGGCCTGGCAGAGAGGGGGCGGGGCCGGGGCTCGGCGGCTGCGCCTTGGAGGGCTCGCTGGGCGCTCGTGGAGGTCGCCGTGGACCCTGGATGCCGGCGGGGGAGTGAGGGGCGCGGGCCGGGCGGGAACCCTGTCGCCCGGGCTCCGGGGTGGGTGAGGGGCGCGCCCCGCGGGCCTCCGGGGCTCTGGGTTCCGGGGGTGGGTGAGGGGCGCGGGCCGGGCGGGACCCCTGTCGCCCGGGCTCCGGGGGTGGGTGAGGGGCGCGGGCCGGGCGGGACCCCTGTCGCCCGGGCTCCGGGGGTGGGTGAGGGGCGCGGACCCTAGTGGCCCCCGGGGCTCTGGGTTCCGTGGGTGGGTGAGGGGCGCGGACCCTAGCGACCCACGGGCCTCTGGGTTCCGGGGGTGGGGTGAGGGGCGCGGACCCTAGCGACCCCCTCCCGGGGCTCTGGGTTCCGGGGGTGGGGCTAGGTGAGGGGCGCGGACCCTAGTGACCCCCGGGGCTCTGGGTTCCGGGGGTGGGTGAGGGGCGGCCCCGCGGGCCTCCGGGTCTGGCTCCGGCCGCTTCCGGGGGCGTCTCGGGCTGGCGCTGGGCGGACTCGCGGCCCTCAGGAGAGCGGTCTGGGGGAGCCCGTCCGGTAGTGACCGACCTGAGGGAAGGGCAGTGTCCGGCTCTGGCGGCCGGAGCGGGCCCTCACCGCCGGGGCGTTTTGGAAGCGCCTGTCCGCGTCCGTGGAGCGGGCGCTGGGTTTGCCCTGAGACTGACAGGTTAGCTCGGTGAGTTTTAGTTTAGAGACCAGCAGCGGCCAGAACCCTGTCCCCGAGTCCCCTTGCGACAGGAGCACGGGTGTCCCGCGGACTGACCTCCGACCTCTCCCGGGCCAGGAGCACGGGTGTCCCGCGGACTGACCTCCGCTCTCTCCCGGGCCGGGAGCACGGGTGTCCCGCGGACTGACCTCCGACCTCTCCCGGGCCAGGAGCACGGGTGTCCCGCGGACTGACCTCCGCTCTCTCCCGGGCCGGGAGCACGGGTGTCCCCGCGGACTGACCTCCGACCTCTCCCTGGCCAGGAGCACAGGTGTCCCGCGGACTGACCTCCGCGCTCTCCCGGGCCGGGGCCGGGAGCACGGGTGTCCCGCAGACTGACCTCCGCTCTCTCCCGGGCCGGGAGCACGGGTGTCCCGCGGACTGACCTCCGCTATCTCCCGGGCCGGGAGCACGGGTGTCCCGCGGACTGACCTCCGCGCTCTCCCGGGCCGGGAGCACCGGTGTCCCGCGGACTGACCTCTGACCTCTCCCGGGCCGGGAGCACGGGTGTCCGCAGACTGACCTCTGCGCTCTCTCCCGGGCCAGGAGCACGGGTGTCCCGCGGACTGACCTCCGCGCTCTCCCGGGCCAGGAGCACGGGTGTCCGCAGACTGACCTCTGCGCTCTCTCCCGGGCCAGGAGCACGGGTGTCCCGTGGACTGACCTCCGCGCTCTCTCCCAGGCCAGGAGCACGGGTGTCCCGCGGACTGACCTCCGCGCTCTCCCGGGCCGGGAGCACGGGTGTCCCGTGGACTGACCTCCGCGCTCTCTCCCGGGCCAGGAGCACGGGTGTCCCGCGGACTGACCTCTGCGCTCTCTCCTGGGAGCTCCGCAGCGTGCAAGGCCTGTCCCCGGGGGCTCGGATTTGTACTCGGTGGTATTTCGGGCTCGTTGCCAGTAATAAAACCACTGTTGGTGTCTGTCTGTCGGCTTCCATGCCATGACCTCGATGGTCCCTGAGTAAGTTATGGGGGCCCTGTGGAGTCCTTGAGGTCTGTGCGCGTCCTGTCCTGTGGACAGAATTCTACCTCTGCCTTCCCCGTCGGAATCCCGTGCCCCCCTCGCCTCTCCCTGTATCTCTGGCTGGAACTGGCGGTGCAGTGAGGAACAGCAATGGCGGGAGCAAGCCTCCTGCATTCCGTTGCGGTTGGGGTGTTAGCTGTGGATGCTTTTACAGATTTCCATGGAACTTCGGAAACTGAAACCCGTGTCAAGTTGAATCAGTTCCCTTTGTTGTGTCTGTGAGGGTTTTTACGTAAATAGCTGTAGGCTTTTGCTGAATAGTTTAACTGCATCAGTCGGTGTGATCACTGTTCCCTGGCTGGGAACATGGTAGGTAGGTGACACCTGCCAGCTTTCGACTGTTAAACCAGTCTTGCATCCCTGGATTAAATCTCCATTAAATCATGTGTGTCATTTAAAAATATTCGGATCAATGAATTCTGTTTGCATATTTTGAAAGGATTTTTTTTTTTATTTGAAACAGTTAGAAAAGGAGAGAGACACACAGAGAGAGAGGTCTTCCCTCCACTGGTTCACTCCCCAAATGGCCATAACGGCTGGAGCTGAGCTCATCTGAAGTCAGGAGCCAGGAGCTTCTTCTGGGCCCCCCACGTGGGTGCAGGGGCCCAAGGACTTGGGTCATCCGCTGCTCTCCCAGGCACATCAGCAGGGAGCTGGATTGGAAGTGAAGCAGCTGGTACACTGACGAGTGCCTGTATGGGACGCCATGCCACAGGCTGCACCACAGTGCCAGCCCCTGCACGTTTTTAAAAATGTCATCCATATTCCAGGGGGATAATGATCTGCTAGTTTTCACCTGGGGACTGTGTTTGCCTGGTTTGATGTTACAGCTTTCTGGGATATGTCCCCTCCTTCTTTTCCATGGCTGTAGTCAGTGCCACTCCCGAGCGATTCCCTGATGGCTCTGCTGGCAGACCCCAGCGATGCAGAGGAAGAAGGAGTCCACCTGGCAGCGCATCTCACGTCCGGCAGAATATTCCTGAGGAACAAAGGGGAGACAGACATCCTCAGGGAAGGAAAACGAGGCAGCCTGCTGACAGCAGGTCAGGAAGGACGCGGAGAGGAGTGCAGGGAACACGATGGGTCAGCCTGCACCTCCTGAGTTCTAAAATCACTTCGTGGTTGAGGCCAGAATGTTCAGGGCATTCAATTGGTGCTTAACATACTTACAGGAAATTCTCGAGGCAATTGTTGTTAGAAAGGGGGAGAGTAAACGAGCCTAAATAAAAGTGACGTTTTATTTTAATGTGCGGCTTAAAGCAGTCAAACATCCACGTGCGTGAGACCGTGGTTAGTTACACCTACCTGCTGAAGCACCCGGGCAACTTTACGGAACAATATTCTCCAGTGTTTTGAGTACATCAGAAATGGAATTCTAAAAAAATAGGTGCAAGTTATCCATTGCACACCAAGAAAAACAGCACAGGAAACAAATAGAAAAGAAGAGCCTATGCAAGCCCTATGTATTGGTCACTCATTAACCTGAAGAGACTCATTGAAGAAGCTGGATGCTTAATTTTAAAAGTCTCCTTTCCCTCAAATGGCTTAATTGGAGAATTTTACCGAGAATTTAAAAATATAACACCAACTTTACAAAAAGTCTACAGAATATAGAAGAGTACTGAACTTCCTAACCCATTTTATAACAAAGGCATACAAAGACGGTATGAAAAATAAAACCTGTAGGTTGTTCTCGCTCATAAACTTAGACACAAAAATCCTTAACAAGATGTTTGCAAACTGATTCTAGCAATATATAAAATGAGCAATGTGCACATCCAAAGTGATCTGTTCAAAGGCTGCACAGCTAAATTTGTGTTCGAAAGTCAAGCAATGGAATCTACCCGGCAACAGGCTAAAGAGGACAAGTTGCTGATCAGGTTGCCTGACACAGAAAAAGCATTTGGCGAAGTCCAACACTCACACTAAAATGAAATCACTGGTCAGCAAGCAAGAGCTAAAGGGAACTTCTTTAACTTGATAAAGCACACCTACAAAATCCCTACAGCTAACATCATAGTTAACTGAAAAACTGGATCCTTCCAAGTGGAAAACGAGGCAAGTATTTCTGCTGTCATCACTCTTACCTACAGAACGCTGACAGTTGCAACCAGTGACAGGAAGCACACGGGCACATGCACACACACACGTAAGTCAGCCAGTGACAGGAGGCACACGGGCACATGCACACACACACGTAAGTCAGCCAGTGACAGGAGGCACACGGGCACATGCACACACACACGTAAGTCAGCCAGTGACAGGAGGCACATGCACACACACACGTAAGTCAGCCAGTGACAGGAGGCACACGGGCACATGCACACACACACGTAAGTCAGCCAGTGACAGGAGGCACACGGGCACATGCACACACACACGTAAGTCAGCCAGTGACAGGAGGCACACAGGCACATGCACACACACGTAAGTCAACCAGTGACAGGAGGCACACGGGCACATGCACACACACGTAAGTCAGCCAGTGACAGGAGGCACACGGGCACATGCACACACACGTAAGTCAGCCAGTGACAGGAGGCAAACGGGCACATGCACACACATGTAAGTCAACCAGTGACAGGAGGCACACAGGCACATGCACACACACGTAAGTCAGCCAGTGACAGGAGGCACACGGGCACATGCACACACACACATGTAAGTCAACCAGTGACAGGAGGCACACGGGCACATGCACACACACACATAAGTCAACCAGTGACAGGAGGCACACGGGCACATGCACACACACACGTAAGTCAGCCAGTGACAGGAGGCACACGGGCACATGCACACACACATGTAAGTCAGCCAGTGACAGGAGGCACACGGGCACATGCACACACACACGTAAGTGGTACAAAAGGCAGGAGACTGAAATGGAAAAGGAAACTGTCTTGTTTGTAGAGTACATGCGTGTTGCTTAGAAAACCCAAAAGAATCTTCAGCTCCTAGAGCCAAGTTCAGCAAGGCGAACACACAAGATGGCACAGAAGATAACAAAGTCAGCTGCATTCTCCACACTAACAACTGGAAACTGAAATAAAAGGTGGAATGCAATTGCTCCAGAACAATGCGACACTTACGTCTAAACCTGACAAAGCGTCTCAGGCTCTGTACGTTGGTAAGTACAAAAATCCTCAGTACTGAAGAGACTTCAGTGTTCACAGATTGGGAGAACCAGCAGAGTAACAGTGCCAGTTCTCCAATGTGTAAGTTTAATGGAATTCTATAAAAATCTTAGCAAGGTTTTTTAGTTTTTGGTGAATACGGACAAGCTTATAAACTTTGTGTGGGAACAACATAGAAGCCCTAGAATGGACACAGTAATTTTGAAACGGGATACAGTGGGAAGACTCACTCTCAGGTTGTTAAGGTTTATATATAGTGACATTAATCAGGACCTCGTGGAACTGCTCACGACTGGTAGTCACAGGCACATCGGTGAAGCAGAACAGAGGATCCACACTAAACCAACACAGACACTCTGAACTGAGACTTGACAGTGGTGCAGATGCAGTTCAGTAAGCATGGTGCTGCAGCAATTGGAGGTCCAGGAGATAAATGAAATCTGAGCTTCACACAGAAAAACGAACCTAAAATGGACCATGGATACATGTAAAATACAAATCTAAAAGCTTTTAGGGGAAAAAATAGGAAAATGTCAGACTTAGGACTAGAGAAAGAATTCTTAGGCTTGACATCATAAGCACAATTCATAAAAAAAAAAACTTGATAAATTGGACTTCTCCAAAGTGAAAACAAACAGTATGTTGGGCCAGCAGTGGGCCTGCAATGTCACAACGGGCTTGCGATGGTGCCATCCCGTATCAGAGTTTGAGTCCCAGCTGCTCTACTTCCACCCCAGCTCCCTGATAATGAACGTGGGAAGGCAGAGGAAGATGGCTCAAGTGCTTGGGCCCCTGCCACTCACTTGGGAGACCAGGATGGAGCTCCTGGCTTCTGGCCCAGCCCTGCAATTGCAGCCATTTGGGGAGTGAACACTGGTTGGAAGACCTTTCACTCTGTCTCTCCCTCTATGTCCCTCTGCCTTACAAGTAAATAAATCTTAAAAATTTAAAAAAAAAAAAGGGCTTACTCTGAGAGACCCTCTTAAGAAGATGAGAAGTCAAGCTGCAGACGGAGAGAAACTCTGCAAACCACATCTGACAAAGGCTTTTCCAGAGTAAAGAACTTCGCAAGCTGAGTGTTTGGAGGCAAGTAACCCAATTAGGAAAAGACACAATGAACAGACATTTCACATGTCCAACTTCATCACCACTACAGATGCATGGATTAGGTCTGATGAAATATTCTAAAAATCAGACAAAGTTGAAAATCATGGAGACACCAGGTGCACAGAAGCCATTTCCTTGCATGCTGCTGGTGAGGGCATGAACAGCCCCACTCTGCTGAGACGTCGACAGTCACCTTGAAACGAACTGGATTCTTCGTACCACCCAGCAGGGTGGCGCTGCCATTTACCCTGGAAGTGAAAGCTTAGCTCACAGGAAATTGGAACCTTACTGTCCCTCAACACACGAATGAATCAACAAAGTGTGGTATATCCATAGCAAATGACTGGGGTACATACCAGCTTACATGGGTCTCTAGGGAGGTATGCTGAGTGAAAAAAAGTTTATCTCAAGAGGTTACATACAGTATGACTCCACTTTTCTAGAATCCTTGAAATAACAAAGTTATAGGAATGGGGAACAAATTAATGGCTGTTGGAGGCCAGAAAAGTGTGTGGCTGTGAAGAAAATGCAAGGGTGATGGAAATATTCTGTCTTGAGTGTGGTGTAGCCTGTGAAGCTGCAGACGTGGGTGATAAAATTTCATGGAACTACATGTGTGCTACATGTGAGTGCATGTTTAACTGGACAGTTTTTAATAAATTCTGAGATTGCACCAAATAATTTCCTGGGATTGGTATGTCCTGTAGTCATGCACGATGGTATCACTGGGGGAACCTGAACTCTGGACCTTTCTGTATGGTTTTTTTTTTTTTTTTTTGCTACTTCCTATAAGTATCTGATTTCTTTTTTCAAAAAGAAAGCATTAAAAATTGTATCCTATGTACGAGCAACAAGGTGTTAGAGAATTAAAATCTAAAAAGACTTCATTTCTGTTATAATCTTGAAATACCCAGAAAGATGGGAAAGACCTCTATACTGAAAATCATGAAGCAGGGTAGAGACATTGAAGAATTTGTAAATGAAGTGAGTATATGTCTAGTTCTTAAAGTGAAAGCCTCAACATTGTGAAGATATTTATCTCTAAATTGATCTATGAATTCAGCATAATCCCAGGGAAGATCTAATAAGATTTTTCTTTAGTTGAAATTGACAAGCTGATTCTAAAATGTGTAGCCCCCTATTTTGGATGAGCTAAGAATGACCAAGGCCATCTTGAAGTGAAAGAACAGGGATGGGGGACGTTCTACCAGAGAAGTAAGATGTATGGGAAGCTACAGTAACTACAGCAGCAGGGTGTGGTGCAGGAGTACACACACAGTGGGAGGAGACAGTCCACACACAGATGACCCGTGTGTTTCAGATGTGTGGTGGATAAACAGGCAGAGGGGTAGTGTGGTCTGCTCTAACTGGGTGGGATGCTGTCAGCCTCCTGTCCATACAAACAATGAACGTTGCTTCTCATAAATAATCAGTTTCAGAAGGATTTCAAATTTAAACCTGAAACTTAAAACAGTAAAGCTTCTGGAGCAAAATAGATTGTCTTCAAGCCCTTGGGAGAGGCAAACATTTCTAAATGGGAAATAAAGCTATAAGGAGGGGAAAAGGGACATCAAAATTACAGAATGGCTCTCCATCAGAAGACACTGTGATGATGAAAAGGAAAGCTCAAACTCGGAGAAGGTTTTTGCAGTAAATAAACCAGCTGGATCCAGAATAGGTAAGAACTCTTACAGGTAAAAACCAAAAGAGACTCTTTACAAAAACGGGCAGATTTAAACAGGAACCTCAGAATGGGCAACCAAAATGTTCAATAATCTAAATGTTAAGAGTTGCTCACCATCGTTGGTCATTGAGAGAATGACAAATAACCTCCAAGGAATAGCTAACTTGAAAACTACTTATCCTAAGTGTTTGTGAAGGTATGGAGCTCCTGGAATTCTCATATCCTGCTAGTGCAAGTCAAAATTGGTATGCATGAGGCTGGCGCTGTGGCATTGTGGGTAAGGCTGCCACCTGCAGTGCTGTCATCCTGTGTGGGCACTGATTCAAGTCCCAGCTGCTCCACTTCCAATCCAGCTCTGCTGTGGCCTGGGAAAGCAGTAGAAGAAGGTCGAAGTCCTTGGGCCCCTACACCCACGTGGGAGATGTGGGAAGGCCCAGAGGAAGCTCCTGGCTTCAGATTGGCGCAGCTTTGGCCATTGCGGCCAATTGGGAAGTGAACCAGTAGGTGGAAGACCTCTCTCTCTATCTCTCTGCCTCTCCTTTCTCTGTGTAACTCTGACTTTCAAATAAATCTTTAAAAAAGAATTGGTATGCACACTCAGGAAAACAGTTTTACAGTTTCTACTAAGCCTGACCACACACATGCCTTAATATTGCAGCAATTATAGGTATAGCCTGTAGCTGTTTATATAAAGTAAAATATGAACCAGAGTGCTTATAGCAGCATCCCTCAAACACCATTCAGAACAGTCCATCAACATAAATGCATAGACAGTTACATATAAATGCTGTATGACAATGAGGATGCCTGAAATACTGCCAAATGCAAAAGCACCAAGGATTCTTCAGTCATGTTAAATGAAAGAACCTAGGCCGGCGCCACGGCTCAATAGGCTAATCCTCCACCTTGCGGCGCTGGCACACTGGGTTCTAGTCCCATTCGGGGCGCCGGATTCTGTCCCGGTTGCCCCTCTTCCAGGCCAGCTCTCTGCTGTGGCCAGGGAGTACAGTGGAGGATGGCCCAGGTGCTTGGGCCCTGCACCCCATGGGAGACCAGGAGAAGCACCTGGCTCCTGCCATCATATCAGTGTGACGTGCCGGCCGCAGCATGCCGGCCGCGGCGGCCATTGGAGGGTGAACCAACGGCAAAAGGAAGACCTCTCTCTCTCTCTCTCTCTCTCTCTCTCACTATCCACTCTGCCTGTCAAAAAAAAAAAAATGAAAGAACCTAAACATAAAAGTGCAAATACTTTATGACTATATTCATAAGACCCTAAAAAGCACCCAAATCAGAATCTTATCTAGCAGAGAAGTCAGGACTATGGTTCTCTGGGAAGGAAGAATAATGACTGGGAGGGTCTGAGGGGACATGAGCCTGGTTCTTCTGAGAAACCACATCCATAGGAAAGTTCATTGCTTGCACACAGCTCTGCAGGCCCATTAAATTTAGTTCAAAAATCAAAGCAAAAAGTGCCATATATTATGACTTTATTGCCACCAATTAGAATCTAGAGCACATAGTTATCCTACTGTAGTGCTAGGCCCAACCCAGAGCCTTTCTCAAGGCGTCCTTGAACTCTTTGTTCCTCAGGCAGTAGATCAAGGGGTTCAGGATGGGCGTGAGCACCGTGTACAAGACAGAGATGAGCTTGTTGGAGCTCCGCGTATCAATGGCCTGGGGCCGGACATACATGAAAAGCAAGGCCGTATAGAAGATGGTGACGACAGTGAGGTGGGAGGCGCAGGTGGAGAAGGCTCTCCAGCGGCCGGTGGCTGAGGGGATGCGCAGGACAGCCAAGGTGATGTGTCCGTAGGAGAGGACGGTGGCCAGGAGCGGGAACACCAGGATGAGGAAGGCCAGGACGAAGTCCACCAGCTCTGCCCTGGAGAAGTCCATGCAGGCCAGCTTGAGGATGGGCGAGATGTCACAGAAGAAGTGGTTCAGGACGTTGGAGCCACAGAACGTGGCGCTGGAGATGAAGTAGACCTTGACGACGGAGACGGTGAAGCCGCTGGCAAAGGAGAAGGCCACCAGCTGGACGCACAGCCCCGTGGTCATGATGACTTGGTAGCGCAAGGGGTGGCAGATGGCCACGTAGCGGTCGTAGGCCATGGAGGCCAGGAGCACACACTCGGTGCACACCAGGGAGCTGAAGAAGTAGAGCTGCGTCATGCACCCCACAAAGGAGATGTGTCTCCGCTGGAGCAGGAGGCCGTCCAGCATCTTGGGGATGATGTCACACACATACCAGATCTCCAAGGTGGACATGATGCCCAGGAAGTAGTACATGGGCCTGTGGAGGGGGGTGCTGCTCCAGACGGTGAAGATGATGGCCAGGTTCTCCACCAGGACAAAGAGATAGGTGAGCAGGAAGAGGAGGAAGAGTGCGTACTGCAGCCGGGGGGCGGTGGGGAAGCCCAGCAGGATGAACGTGCTGACCGTGGTGACATTCTCCCCCCTCATCTTCCGTGGCTGGGAGAGAGCAGGAGCCAGAGGACACAAAGCTGACACTCAGGAGAGGGACCAGCCCCACAGTCGGCCACTTCACTCCTGGGGGCAGCAGCAGGGGACAACTGTGTTTACCTGCCAAGTTTTCAAGTGGAGAAAGTGCTGTGTGCTGCAGTATAGCCACAATAATGAGTGGAAAGGGGTGGGTTAGGAGGCAGTGACAGCTGCCCAGCTGTTGGAGGACCAGCTGGGAACCAGCATCGATTTCCCCACGGGTGTTGGGGCCTGTGTTCTAATCAGGCAACACCTTGGTTCTCCGGGTGCCCTGAGCCTCCTCTCCCAGTACCACCTCTCTCATGGGGAGCCCCAGTTGTGTAACTTGCTCCTCTCCTTGTATCTGAGAGATGGTGAGGCTGGCGTGACTGCCGTGTCAGCTCACAGACCTTCTCCATGGAGCAGGCGAGCTGCTGTCACGGCTGTAGACCTGCGCCATGCTCGCCTTCCTGGAGGGGCCCCTGGGCCTGCGATGCTGCTGCGTGTGAACACGTGAGCCCTGCCAGTGTCTGGTCTGTGAGGTCCACTGCTCCCACTCACCCCATTCCAATGTGTACACAAACACACACACACACACACACTCATACAGATAAAAACCATGTATACACCCACGTGCATGCATGCACCACGTATTACACAGATGACAAGTGTGCATGTACCCACACACATGTGTGCACCACGTATTACACACACACACAGATAACAAGCGTGCATACACCACATATTACACACAGAGATAACAAGCGTGCATACACCACACGCATGTGTGCACCACGTATTACACACACAGATAACAAGCATGCATACAACCACACGCATGTGTGCACCACGTATTACACACACAGATAACAAGCGTGCATACACCACACGCATGTGTGCACCACGTATTACACACACAGATAACAAGCGTGCGTACACCACACGCATGTGTGCACCACGTATTACACACAGAGATAACAAGCGTGCGTACACCACACGCATGTGTGCACCACGTATTACACACACAGATAACAAGTGTGCATACACCCACACACATGTGTGCACCACGTATTACACACACAGATAACAAGCGTGCATACACCACACACACGTGTGCACCACGTATTACACACACAGATAACAAGCGTGCATACACCCACACGCATGTGTGCACCACGTATTACACACACAGATAACAAGTGTGCATACACCCACACGCGTGCGTGCACCACGTATTACACACACACAGATAACAAGCATGCATACACCACACGCATGTGTGCACCACATATTACACACACACAGATAACAAGCATGCATACACCACACACATGCGTGCACCACGTATTACACACACACACAGATAACAAGCATGCATACACCACAGGCATGTGTGCACCACGTATTACACACACAGATAACAAGCGTGCATACACCCACACACATGTGTGCACCATGTATTACACACACACACAGATAACAAGCATGCATACACCCACACACATGTGTGCACCAC